ATACGATATCTGACCTTACTTACGCTTGATTATTCACAAGGTAGACCTCATAAATCAAGCGTTAAATTGAAAAAAATTTAGTATGACATAAACCCCAAAAAAAATTCCTTCTAATTGCATTCACACTCATACATATGAGTGCACATAAGTACATGCAACCATAAGAATTAGACGATACTCCAATGGGTCAAGAATAAGCTCTCCATACATATCAGTTAGATACATCAATAATTCACCAAAAATACAAGTTTATCAAGCTTGCAGCTTACTTCCTGTTGAATCACATCATCACACAAGTGAAGAAGAGTACCCCTTCCGCTATCGAGTTGTTTGTCGTACATGGACTGTGTTATTAAGTTCTGATATGCTACCAAGTTCTGCTGAAAACTGCATACAATTGAAAAGTCATAGGCACATGAGTAGTTGACAAATTATTCAATTAAAAGAACAACAAAGAAAGCGAGCCCTCAATGCAAACATGCAGCCACAGCCCATGGCCAGTCATCATCATCAGAACATGATTGATCATGTCAACTTGTCAGAGAAAAGTTTTCACAGATATATAGACCTCTTCTCTTTTTCATGTGTGACATGCATATTCATTTTATCAATTTTGTGCACATGCATATTACTTTCATGTGTGACAGACTTCCTTTTGTGTACATGCGTATTAATTAAAAGAATAATATATAATCCAAACATGAACTGTAATAAGAGACTTAACGTGAAGTATATCTTAGCACAGTAACCAATCACAGTGGAAAGAACTGCAAAAATGACCCAAAAATCAGCTGTAGGCATTTCAATCGAACCAACAACAGCAACCTGTAAAGAAAGAAATGGTAAGCTAAATTTTGATAAGAAAAAGTGACCAACAGTACACCAAGACAAACTTCATTGCTATCTCAATTAACTGACCAGCCCAACTACAGCAGAGCCAAGGAACTTGACCCAGTCCATTGGGGTTAACCCAGGGTTCTTCTTCTCAGGCTGTAAAAGGAAAAAGGTTCCTACACCAGGTCATCAGCAGTACAAGGGCTACGAGGAGTATAAAATTCCACAGAAGGAGAGAGAGAGAGAGAGAGAGAGAGAGAGAGAGAAACACACAAGAACTATCTCCATATCAGCCATTGGAATATTTCTGAAATGTTTCACATATATTCCTCGTTCCTCTTTTGCTTTGGTACTTGCTCGCCTGAAGAGTCATAATTCTCTTATCAATAACTTATTTTTCAAGGTTCTTTCGGGACTTGTTTCCTAGAGCATCAATCCAATTAGAGGCAAGGCAACTAAACCCCCTCACCCTTAAAATAAAAAATCTGTAACTTATGGAAGTATCATGCATTGAATGTTCACCAATATTAGACAAAGATCTGTTCAAGCCCTGTGTCCCTTTCGAAGAAAATACACTGCATGAAGCAACTAGGAGACTACATGCTCAAAATTATAATTTAAAACTGTCAACACTGATATGCCAACCTAGTACCAGCCAAATTGCTCACAAGGAAATTAGGAAAAAAATTTGACATTATCAACAAAAAGAACAGTACCTGTAAACCACAATAATCCTATCAAAGGTTGGCTCTTTGATCGTGGTCTTGCTCAGCAAATTTTTAACACTGAAGGACAAAGCATATAAATTTCAAAAAGTGGAAATAATCACAATAAGATTGAGACAAGGAACTCAAGTCAAATCAAAGGCATATTTCTATTTATATGTATGCATGTTTCATAAAGAGGGAATCAGATTTAAAATGGTTTTAATTGCTATTGCATGATCATCTATAAGTATAGTCTGAAATGAAGAGTATCACTGAGTAACAGAGAACTTTTAGCGCAAGTCTGAGAAAAAAAAACCTGGGAAATTACAGATCACAATGAAAAGAAATTTTTAGGACACTTGAGAGTAATTCAAGGCTTGCTACAAGGAGGAAAAAAAAAAAATCAAAGTTTCAATATGGATAGAAAATTTCAGGATCCATACAACCCAAATTTAAGCAAGCAAGAGTGAGGAAATAAGACCCAACTGCATAGAATAGCCAGCAAACAGCTTAGTAGTCTGCCAGAACTAACAGCTCAAGAAAAAAACAGTACACTAAAACTAAAGCCGTGCAGAAAAAACCTTAGTTCCATGTTTTCTAGACGGATTCGTTCAACATGTAAGTCTTCATCCTCTCCATCTGCTTCAGAGCTAATTTCCTCATTCTTCTTTGGATCTGTCTTAGGTTCTCCACTTGATCTTCTGGATAAAAGTTTTCCGACCCTGCCACAAGAACAACACCAAAAAACGAAATATACAAAGAAATGCTTAAGCTTAAATCAAATAATATCTAAAGAACATTTTCTCAGCTATTTTCTCAATAATTTTGGTGATACCAATCACCAATGATGCAAAAGATGATGTTTCAAATAGACTCCATTAAATGACTTAAAACTGTCCACTGATTTTCAAGTTTAAACAATTTTGACCATAATTTCCAAAAATATATACTTTCCAGTAGCAGAAGTTCAATAACCAAAAACATTTAAAGAATTACTTACTTAGTTATTCGTAAAAGATAAGCCCAAAAGCGTGCAATGATCATGTCTACTTTCTCCATGAAAAAGTAATCAGTTGTCTGATCAAGTCCAACACCCCGTCGGAATATAATGTACTGAAGTTATAAAAAATGCAGATTAGACCTCTAGAGAAAGAGATATAGAGGAAGGAAGAGAGGGAGGGTGGGAGATTAAGTAATATTTCCTATGTCAAACAAGGAAGAGGCGGATAAGCTAAATATGTGCAATCCTACATAATCAGCAACTCAAAACACTGGGTTTAAACATTCCAAATGTTTATAGTGTTTTATGCTGAAATTTACAATACCTTATCACAAAAATCGGGAAGGTTTGGTTGAGGACGCCTTTCAAAAAAATTCTTCAAAAGCTTCTTGTCAAGCTGCATTCAACAGGAACAATACATGGGATCAGCATATGCGAAGGTGGAATAAAAAAAAGCAATATATAATAAGAAACAAGAGTTACATTAACATTTGCAGGTTTGCACTTAAGAATCTTAATGAATTGAAATTAAGAAATACATGTGTAAGTACAAACCTTAGACTCATCAACCACGATTGGTAGATTTAGAAGATACTGCCCTGAATGCGCAACCTCAATTTCCTCATTGCTTGCTATTTTGAAATTGCTCTTTTCCATCACCTGTATCATAACTATAATTTAAATATTCCACCCTTGTTGTAGAATGATAGTTCGTAAAATAGTAAAAGGATTTGGTTTAGTCCTATTTTGGCAGTTCAGATATTATTTAATTTCCTACACTTAAACTGGCTTTCCTTGGCATAAATATAATCATTCAATTGTGACAAAAGCCTTCGTTTCTCATCTTTTTTTTTCTTTTTTTCTTTTTTCTTCATGTTTCTTTCAATTGTATGGTCATACAAGGAAAAACTAAAAACTAAAACACAGTGAAGCAGCCATACCTGAAATAAGTACGTCAGGAAATTCTGTTCAAGTACATCAATTTCTTTAGGAGGAAGATTCTGTTGTTCCAGTTTTTTAGCCCCATTTACAGGGTCAAAGAGGGAGTAAAGTTGCTGCAAAGAAAATGTGTCAAACAAAACTTATGATAATCAGCGGAAAATATCAGCCTATAACACGAGAAAATAAACAATGCAAATTGTAGACATGAATAGTATCAGGGTCAACATGGCCCTCAAAACATGAGCATACCATCAAATCCTCGAACTGTAGAAGATACCAAGCCCGAATTGTGTACTCAACTCTCTTGCAGAGCTTTAAAAACTCAGCCCGGTCAGAACTATGTTCTGCAGAATTACGAACACCCAGTTTTTTGTTAAGTAGCATGTAGCGAAACTAAGCAACACAAAAAAAAAGAACAAAAAAGACAAATCTTTGCATCTAAACCATAAATGGTATCAAGAATTAAAACAAGGGATCAGTTTCAGAGAAATGCAGGGACTCTGAATTTGTAGACTGAAGAAACAAAGACGACCCATGAATTAAAATGAAGCCGCCAGTGCCCAAAGCAACAAACTTTGAACAAAACCCAGAAATCAATCGAAAAGGGCAAGCAAGGTTGAGCACGAACCAATGAGGTTGGCCAAGGTCATGATGATTTTGGGCTTGATAATTGGGATGACGGATTCACGCTCAATTCGAATCATGTCCTTCTTCTTTTGCTCCATTTTTTTGCTTTGCTTTCTTTGTTTTCTGCGAAAGCGGTATCGCCAATGGCACAGCAGCCCAACCTGTGAATTCAGCCCCTTTAAGAACAAGAATTATGCGATGACGGTTGAGCTTAGATTCTTTCTTGGGATTAAATGAAAGGGTTGTTTTGGGTTTGGGGTTTTGGTTTTGGTATATATAGTACCTTGTACTAAGGGAGTGTTTTGTATCTTCCTTGCAAACAGAGTGTTTTTGTCGGGGGAGATAGTGAGGTTGAAGCCAAACCACAGAAACAGAATGAAATGCCAAAAGGAGAACAGTAGAACATTTTTAGATCACATTTAATACAGTCGAACGTTTTACGGGTTTCAACTACTCTACGTTTATCAGAAAAAACAACTGTTTTACTTTTAAAAGCGTGAATTTGATTTCCTTCCATGTTTAGTTTATTCCATTCATGTGTGTATTTAAACTGTTATTTTTCAACAATTATACTTGAATGGTTATGATATATACTTCGTTAACAAATCATATTCTGATCTGATTTCCATTGAAGAGTTTACTTTTTATTTTTAATATACAAGTAATAGTTTAAATTACCCTAAACACGGAGAGAACTCAAAAAGAAAGGACACACTGACCAACTAGCCAAAAAGAATAAATTTAGCTGACAATAAGAGGGTGTATAAAATATTGCATGTGTATATACACAGAGGATTGGCATATATTGCATGTGAAATCATCTTATGCAGCCTCATTGATTGGGAAATGCTCAGAGTTTGGCTCTCTAAACTCATTGCTAAGATATTCACTTAGGTGACAGACAGGTGCCCACTTTCTGTTGTCTGGTTCTCCCCCAGTTCAATTCTAATATCACTCAAATGCCTGCTTCCAGTTGTTTGACTTTCCCTCAGGTCAACGCTAGCATCTGTAACAGGCCCTTCTTTCCCGGGCTCAGCAGTCCTGCTTCTGCAAATGGGACAAATGGGTGTCTGCAAAAGCCATGCATCCACGCACTGAGCATGAAAACTGTGCTTGCACAGAGGCAACAGCCTGCACTTCTCGCCCATCTTGAAGCTGTCCAAGCACACTGCACAATCCAAAGGACTACTTGGCTTGTCCCAATTGGCTACATAATCAAAGCTAGGAAGCTTCTCTAGGTCATCTTTGGACATGCTTGCTGTGCCACCTGTACTGCTGGCCATGGCAACCATAGAGCCATTACCAAACCCTCCTCTTCTGAAAGCCCTCCCAACAATCCAAACATGAACTAAGATCAAGAACCCAATTCCCACAAATAACAATATGACAGAAAAGAAGATTGCCATTGCCACAATCCGCACTGCATCACCTGCGAACTTTTCACTCATTTTAATATCCCCTTCCTTCTCATTCTGTATTGGAAAGCTAAAAGTATCTGAAGAAAAATGGAGTTTGTGGGTTAGAAGAAGAAGAAGAGCATTAGAATGTACTAATTGGAAACCAACCAATAAGAAGGCAGCTCTGTTTTACAAAGAGGGAGGAGATTTATTCATGACAACATAAAGTAGATTAGATTACCTAAAACACTGGTGAATGAGGCAAATTTTAAAATTAATTCAGAGGAGATAGGGTTAACTAGTCTCTATCATGGAGTAGGTGGTAAAAAACCAAATTGAGTCCAGACGAAAAAGAAACGTCAGAAGATCCAGAGATTTCTCACTGCCCCCTCTTGTTTTCATGGTTTTCTTTCTTTATCTAGGTTAAGGTGAAGCTCCCTACAGTGTTAATGAAAGTAAAATTAATGGCCGTTTGATAACCATTTCGCTTTTAGTTTTTAGTTTTTATTTTTTTGCGCTAAAGCATAGAGAAAAATAATAATGATAATAAGCGTGAGGAGTAGAGGAGATGATAGGATTTATGCGCACGAATTTTTGTGCTTTTTGTTTTTCAAATCATATGTTTGATTGAGCATGGGGTTTATGTGCACGAATTTTTATCTTAGAACAATCTTGTGCTGCAGTTTTGACTTCCGCTTATTTGTCTCCTTTATTGGATTTCAGGCACTAGCAAAGTTTGTTCTCACTTGTAAGATGGAGCGAGATATAATTTCCAATTTTCTAATTAAAAGGAGAAAAAAAGGATGTAGGATGCTCCACCAGAAAAGTTGAATTAGATCGGTTACCCACCATGCTGAACCATTCAGCAACTGCTCATCTAAAGGATTTAAAAAAAATAATAATTACAATATATATATATATATATATATTCGCATCTTATTGTTTTGTACTCGATAAGTTCAACAAAACAAAGCAGAGCACCTAGAAAATCCCAATTTAAGAGATGGATGATGAAAATTGCATTGGAATTTTCTTCTCCTTGCAATGGCCTATTGATTGTTAGACATCATAAAGCCAGTTAGAGCATACACAATCATGCTCTCTATTTTTTAGTTAAAATTTAGCTAAAAAAACTATAAAGCTATTTTAAGAGCTCACTATAAAATTTCAACTTCAACCATACTCCCTAATTTAAAGAGTCATAAATGTTTTTAATGTTTTTAAATTCAATTTTTGAATAAAATGTAGACACAAAAGCAACAGTAAAAAATAATTTACTTTAAATAAAAAAACATTTAATTATAGGAAGTCACTAGGAATCTTTTCTCTCTCCTTAGATTTAGAAGCTCATAAAAGTCTCCCTATTTTAAGAGCTAAATAGGGAGCACGGTTAGAGGTGGGTTTTTTCAATTCCTCCTAAAATGTTAGCTAAGAAAGTGGTTTAAAGAGCCCATTGTGAATGCTTTTATAAGACAAGTTTTTGTATTTACCAAGGAAAAACAAGGGTCATGATCACGAAACATCTAAAACCCAAAGCTAAGCGGGTGTAGTTAGCTATCATGAATGGCTTGATTAGACTTTTGACCCAATAATATGGGTGAGGAACATTGTCATTGTGGGCGCAGATTGACAGCAAATGATTGAAAAAAGAAACATCTCAACAGCGTTGATTGAAGGAACAAGGCCTAGAAGTAATAATGACATGTGTGAAGAATATGATCATCCGATTCTGGATCAACTACGTGCTCCCACCATAATACCAAACATATCAACCTTTCAAAGAATTTACAGACGCGAAAAATGAAAAAGATTTTGATGAACCAAATCAAATCAAGGGCAGATATAGGCTTTGCTAAAGCTCATATATGTTGCAAAATGGAGACAACACTACTCAAACTCGTGCGTGCTCAATATAAACCTGTGTCAGGAGCCCATAACGAGACCTTCCCGAGAGATATTGGTAACCCGAAGAACAGCTTGTGCACTAAGAGGCGAGAGTTTTGATTGACAAAAGTTCTCCCAAGAGCTCGGTTCTGGATGCTCAGATACTGATGCTGAAGTGAGATCATTAAATTTCTCATAAACAGTTTGCAGCTCCAGGAGGAGAATTCGAGCAGCCTCCCTAGACTCCGGAAGCTGGTCACTAAGCTGGGATGCAGCTGTCTGAATGAATTTGTCAATCCCATAAGCTTTGATGCCTTCAACGCCCTGTTGACAGACACAGGATAAGTGCATATAACAGGAAGAAATCAAATGCACCCTGTTTTGATTATCTCAAAACGTGCAAATATGTGATAACTGACATAGTCGATAAAAGAAATTGAAATGGAAATGTACATACAACAATGTGAGAAAATAGATTCAATTGTATATGTACAACAGTATAACTAGGTAGACTCAGAGAGAATAATGGTTGACAGGAGAAAACATATGATTGTTGTTCTTGAGCACACATTACGTGTAGAAGTAAATGGGCAAGTAAAGGGGTCGATGGGGCAAGATGAATCTACATAATATAAATACAGGAACAAACAAATTCAAAGAAACTTCAGCACTTGATTTTGAAAGCTAATGAAAGGTTAAGCCATTTCCACCAATTCCAGTTTCACAACACAGAGTCCAAACAATAAGCAGACCCTAAACCAGTATAAAGGTTTATATATGGGCAGATAGTAAAGGGGAAAAGAACCTAATAAGACTCTGCTCCACACAAAAGATACTACATCTAAAGCGGCACAAGAAAACAAGCAACTGCGGATACAACTGAATAGAACTTAGACACCAATGTAATAGCAATTGGGGGTGGGGGGTGAAGGAAATATTACGAAGACCAATCAAAACATTAAAAGCCAAAAAGTATGAAAGAAAGTAAAATTATATGAGAGCACTGAATTGAAATGCTGTGTGTTACTCAGAAAAATAAATCAATTCACTTTTGATAAACAAATGAAAATTCAATAAACAATGTGGCAAGGAATTGAGCATATATAAGTCCTCATACCAGTCGTGGAACACTTCGGCAAAAGCACATTGATGCCTTTGCTCGAACTCTAGGATTTTTGTTCTTTAGATACGGTTGCAACTTTGGTAACAGCAACGGAGGGGAAACCCAAGTGGTCATCGCTACTAAAGCTCTCTCGGCTGCTTCACATACAAATCGTTTGTCTTGTGAAGACTTAAGAAGCAGTTGTAGAAGCTGCAAGGGTCGTGTTTGATTAAATTGGGGAAAAATACTAACAATTAAATCGAATATAAGAGCAGAATCCTTTACTATAAAAACAAAGCAGACCAATATAGCAGCAAAACTTCAAAGAATTCAAGTTTACCAGAGGGTCCAATGAATCAACTACAAGATCGTTGTAAGCATTGAAAATATCTGCAGATGTCATAATTGCAGTTTTGCAAACAGCACTTCTTGGATTTTTCAGAGACCTTACCACCAGTGAGATCACATCTCCCCTATTGAACAAAATGATGACAATAGTTAAATCGGTCAACACTGACAGTCATCAATAACACATACTTCTGACAATCAAGAGCATTATGTAAGAACATGACACTTACAACATATCAAGCATGGCTTCCTTATGAAATATAGAAAACCGACGCACATTATTGAGTGCTTCACACAGCAGAACCCAATCTTTAGATTCTAGTCCAGTTACGAGTGTCTGAAACATCAAACAAGAAATGTATGCACATCATACAGTTAGCTACATACATACACATATCAATGCATAGTCATCAGAGGCGAAAGGTCAGGTTTACACAAAAACATTATGAGAAGGCATATAATGAATACCTTGAGACTTGTATCAACATCCTCTAGATCATTCAGATTCTCTGACTCAATGTATTCTACTTCTGCAATTCCAACCTCAACACCAGTATTCGCAACTTCGGCACCATTTATAGAAAGTGCACCCAAAGCAGCAGTGGCTTTCTTCTGGCATTCTTCCTGATTTTCATTAGCATTCCCAGCTAAGGGCTTAGTTATGCTCCCTTTGCTAGAGCTTTCATTCTTCTTCTCAGATCCAGGTATGGCGTTGAGATCTCTCAGAGCTGTCTCTGACATCACTTTTGGCTTTCAACTCTGAAACAAACGAATTACGATGGTGAACAAGCAAACTCGAATGCAATAAAACAGCATCCACAATAGCAAAGAATATAGATAGAAATTCAATTCCAGTTGCTTGAAAGATCCAGAAAACCACAAGCTCATCCTCCAATTCTCTAATGTATTATGAAGATACTACAAATAACGATAACAATACGCGGAACAAATTACATTACAGCTAATGCAAATCGCCTCCTCAAAGTTTCTCCTGAACGAACAAACGATGAAACCAAAATTCTTCCAATAACCAAACAGTATCAGTAAAACTGAACCTAGGAAAAGATCTAGGGCTCCAAGCACTAGCACCATGCTAAATAAATAAACAAATTATAATAAAAATAATAAAAACAGTGAAAGATGATGACGATTATGATGATGGTGATGATGAAGTTAAAAGGTGAGTCTGAGCAAACTACAAGATCTCGCGGTACAGTCCCTAATCGTACTAATTTCCCCTTCAAATCGGACAATTTATTCCAATTCTACAGTGGTTATGGATGGGATTTGAGCTTCAAAATAAAAACAAAAACAGCAGCATCAATTATATGAGAGAGAAAGAGTACCGGAGAGAAGTAGAAGAGACTGATCGGACAGAGAGTGAGGAAAATGCGATCGAACAAAGAGCAGGCGTCAAACAAGCTTTGAGTAAGTCCACACTCAGAAAATAGGCGGACTTTAAATAAGAGATTGTTTTTTTTTGCTTCTGTAACCGTCGAGACTTGGGCTGGGCAGACAGATGATGAGACTCGAACGACGCCGCTTATTGTATTTGGGTTTAAAAAACCCGACCTGGGCCGGCAGACTCGGGATCCTGCATGTGACCGCCTCCCATATCATATTAATGTTGTTTGTTGCGATTTTGGCATCTCATACACCCACGGTTTTCACCTTAAATTTCTAAAACGCCACTGCCTCTCATTATTGTCGTCATCTTTTTATTACAAGACATTTTTTTCGGTCGTTTCCTTGTTTGGAACTTGGATAGTTTTGAACTTGACGCTTCAACACAGGAAAATGAAATTTTGGCTTGCAAATTTGAAAGCAAATAAATAACGTAAATTTTTGGATAGATGCTCTATCATATTGGTGCGTCCACGATTTTTCGTGGACAATTTTAAATTAGTGGAAAATAATGGGTTGAATTCGTGTTTATACAATTGATAGTTTTTATTTATAAGAAATTCTATGATTACATTCATAATTCAGTTAAAAAAATTATTAACAACAAAAGACTATTAATTTAACATCAAAATTAAGACAATTTAGAGTTTTTTCATTAACGATCACGCATGATAGAAGAAATTTTGGCATATGCATCTCAACAACTCTAAATTGATACAATTGATAGTTTAAACTACTCTAACTTAACATGATATACGATGAATGAGATTTAAAACTGATCGCTGCTCCAATCAACTAGTTTAATCCACCTCTATATGATTTGATTATTATTTATGAACAGGGGATTGTTCTATTTCATAATTTGAGAATACATTATGATCATATGGTATGGTAACCCAATTATTAAAGTGGCGATGGCCCGTCTTCGTATAAAGTTTTTGGAGTATGGTTCTAAAACACTACAGCCACCAAATGCGCGCCAATGCTGTCGGTGCACCCGCCCCTTCCTCATATTTATTTTCTGGGGATGAGAGAGGATGTGTGGGGATGGGATGGGGCATCTATTACTTATTAGTTTTTCCATTTTCATCGCAATCACCCATTTTTAGCCACATATCACATTTCTTTTCCAACTTTGAACTTTCCATTTCGTAAATGACTGCCTAATTTGCTTAAATATTTATTTTTCTTGCCAAAGCAACAAAATGAGTTCTTAGGTGTTAAATTTTTTTTTCTTTCCAAACTTTGCTGGTTGTAATTGGGGAAGTACCAAAAATAAAAATCATATAAATAAATTTGACAAACACTGTATCTTCAATTTGAAAATAATAACCATCCATACACATCTTTCCTTTTGAGTATGTAACGGGAGAGAGAAACTATTATCTAATGGAAATAACAATTTTTTACTATTCTCGATCAATAACACAATGACACGTGGAAAACATGTAAGTTTTTTTTGGTAACTAGGGAGAGGGGTGAGCAATGATGACAACAGCCGCACAATATGGGCCAGCAAATTCCATGTAGACAAGTCCATGTTAAATATGGGCCAAGAAGCCACAAGAGCAACATCTATAAAAGCTCGGGGTTATCTGGATTGGGCTTTTCTATATTCGTCTTATCAGATAATCCACCGCTAATTAAATATTTAGTATTTATTATGGTAATGGTAACTTATTAAATATTCGTCTTATAAAATTTCAACTCTAGTTTAGAGAATTATGAATGCTTTAATTCTCTTATAAAATACTTTAGCATAAATACTTTATCTTCATATAAATTATTAATAATAAATATTTGATATTAAATAAATACTTAAAATAATATTAAAGTAAAACAACATTTAATTATAAGTCATTACTCATATTTAGGAGCTCCTACAAGTTTCTCTATTTTAGGAGGTGGATAGATTAGAGAGCATGATTAGAGGGGTGTTTTTTCAAGTCCTCCCAAAATTTTATCTAATCATACGATTTAAAAAACTCATTGTAAATGCTCTAACTCATATAAAAACTTTGAATTACACCTAATGTATAAAGACTTTTCAATAATAAATACTGGAAATTGTTTAAAATTGTATTGGCACTCTCTACTTTGCTGAAACCACCATTCATCAAAAGTTTATCCTATATTCAAAGTTTATCTATGTTCAATCTACCCCCAAAAATCTCAAATTTCCACATTTGCTTCCATTGATAGACCCTCTCCATTGTCGCTAGTATTGGCGTTGACACCAATTTCCCATCCCCATCCCCCACCACTCTCTCTCATCCCTCTATTTATCTTTCTCTCTATCATCTCTCTTTGTTTTTTCCTAACGACGACTATGAAGTTCTAAAGTGTGGTTGTCACATATTATAATATAGGTAGAAGACATGTTTCATATAACATGCACTTAGGTGTAATATTAATATATAGATACACGTGGTATAATATGAGTGGATCGATAAAGTAATTTTATCAAGTTAGACACATGTCATTTACGATGATGAGAAATCCAATATGAAGTTTGTGGAAAAGGCAATTATGTCAAGTCATAAACTACACTGCCAATTCTTTTACAATGCATGAGCTAAATACATCTCAAACACTAGACATTTGTCGTGAATACATAGCGATCATATTTCATTCATGAGACATATGGTATGATCACTTCATCCCACATTTTCCACTTGTCATATTGCAAGTAAGTAACCGTATTGTCATATTGCAAGTAAGTAACCGTATTGTCATTTATTTTGTCGTTAATGCACTGAATCTATTGCATCGGGCACCTCCCTTGCATTTTTCATGAGATCATTTATTTGTTGTGAATGCACCGATTCCGTTGTATTGGAACTCATGTCTACATATTTCATAGGAGGTATGCGATACGCTTCCACTTTGTTTGACATCTCACACTTGTCACTTCATATGAATAACCACAAATGCATCGAGTTTACTATCACGCCTCATCTACATATGTTACGAGAAACCAAATGACACTAAAAAATTCATAGCTAAAATAGACATTACACCTCCAATTTACACATCTTACAATGGAGATGCTTTTAGCACCATCCATGATATATATGTGGTATATCCAATCTATTAAGTTAACCCTACTTCTAAGTAAAATTATTATTGTACAGAAAAGAGGATGCACATAACATGTGATTAAAAAGAGACGTTGAAAGAGCAGAGTCTTCTAGGGACTGTAAACCCAGGCGGTTCTCGTGTAGATTGCATCATTGTACTGTTTGGAAAGGCAAGTCCAGTCTAGGTCTCTCCTTATAGGTCCACATGTGCAGCTGTCGTTCAACAACAGCGAGTACGCGCATATAAAAATCCCCGGTGACTCCGCCCCACTTTACCCTTCTCATCCATTTACAACAGCAACAGCAACAGCAACATCAACAGCACTCACAGTTTCAACAATTAAAGAAAAAAATAAAAGAGAAAGAGAGAGAGAGTCAGGTCAGGGCCCTTCGATACGGTCCTCTTTCGGTCTCATTTCTGTCTTCTTTTTCTCTTTGTCCCTCGAAACCCAAAACCAAAACCAAAACCAAAACCTCTCTCTCTGTTTCGTTGTCAAATCTCAGCCGTCGGATCCAAGCAATTTTCCCCAGGCTCTGAACCCCAACAATGGTTCGAGCGTCACATCGGAACTCACCGACCTCGAGCTCCGAACCCCGACTCGGATAATGGAACTCAACGATTCAACTAGCGACGAACTCAGAGACGCCAGGCCCGCCGCCGCCGAGCCCACTCGCTCTGTGCTCGGCATCGATCTCAATGAGATCCCTTCCCCGTCCGAAACCCTACCCGATTCTTACGACGTCGTACGCTCTTATCACGACCATCCTTCTCCGCCGCCCGGCGGTCCTGCCGGTGTTCCCGGCTCCGCGCCGCCGCCCGCGCCGC